GATCATTAGTTAGGACAAGTGAAGAATCTTTTGCTTTTACATAAACGCACATCCCTAGCAAGACGTCTATGGATCTTGCTGGGTAAATCCCACAAATGGGTGCGCCGCGCTAAACCGAGATCGTTGTCTTTTGTTAAGATCATCCAGTACTTAAAGGGACACTGTCAATGGATGACATGCGCGAGTAAACTTGAAAACACTAGGCTAGTGTTTTCAAGTTTATGACTCCAAGTTGGCGCGACATAAATCAGATCGTAAACGTAAACAGATCTATAATATTCCAAAGTGTGTCAAAATCACCACAAAATGATTTACCTCGAAGGTTATACTTTCAAAGTCCGTTAGAGGTGAGACTGTTACTGCGCATGTCATCCATTGACAGTGTCTCTTTAATGCATAGGTTTCAAATCTACATAAAAACATCTCTTATTATTTAGTGGTCAGTTTTTTTAGTAGTCAGTTGTAAACATTTTGTATTTTGTATTTCCAGAGCAGTTCTTGTAGCGAAGAAGACTCGCCCAAAGGACAACACAAACTGAAACGAGGCCTTTTTGGTCGAAGTACAAAAAAGAAGACACCGAGCAGGCCTGGGTCTGAAATTGCGGCTTGTGATATGACAATGAGTGAAGAAGATAGAATTAATTTAATGAAGGCAGTGCGAGACCACGAGATAACAGTAGACGACGCGGTCAAGAAGCTCTACAGGTACTAGATCCAAGGGTAGATTCAGGAGAATGGGGTGGGGGGAAATGGTGGGAGGGGGTAAGGTGTATAGCTGCGATCAAAAAAAAGTGCTTATTTTAACGAATGAACAGGATATTATTGACTAATGAGAAATGCTTCTKATTTTTTTTACAGCTTTGAAGAGAGCTCCAATGTACCAAAGGTATGTAATGATTTATAGAGTCAATTTCGTATGAGTGGGAAACGTACGTACGGTAGAAATTACCGCACAGTTACCGGACCTGGCCTGCACAATTTTTGTGAAGCAATGAGACACTAGAATTTGGTTACAGTACGATTACGGTACAGTACCGTACCGTCCGTTTGTCACTCATACGAAATTGACTTCTTTCCTTAAAAATGGGACCTTAATTTTATTAGTCAACGCCACTTTGCTACCAAGTTCAAAACTCGTACCCAGTCGTTTCCCTTGATCCTTTTCACGCGCGAGAGAAAAAAAGAAGAGTGGCGACTGGGTACGAGTCCAACCAAGGACCTCATTCAAGTATAAGTTCGAGAGTGCTTAATTTTGCGAATCATGAAGCGGTTTATGTCGCCTTGTTAAGTTTTTTAAAATTTGACCGAAGAAGTGACACAAAATATCAACGATTACAATTATGAAATGACACAAAATGTCAACCCTTACAATTATGAACATAACAACGCACAAAATACGGCTTTCGATTTAATGTGTATCAGTACCAAATACCATTAAATCACTTTCACCAGTAGATTGTAAAGTTAAGTACTCGCTTGATTGGTTGACCCAATTATGATTTTTTTTTTCCAGCCCAAGTCGGTCAAGCCTAAGTATTCCCCGAAGTCTCCGCATACTTTCTCAAGAATCAGCATCAAACGTGTATCGGCAGCATTCACATCAGGCCGAGGTACTTCCAAGGATGAGCCAAATTCTGTATTTTATGCTCCATCAGGTATCCTGACCCAGCAATAAAACCCTCTATTAAGGCCGAATAGACGGGACAACGTTTGCCTACAACCATATCCCATGCAACCTGTGGAAGTTATGATTACAACATGGCTACAATTGTCGTAGGGATTAAGAACTCCTTTAATAGCCCTTTGACAGTTGTAGCTCAATGTGGTAAGGATGACTTACACAGTTGCATGCGATGGTTGTAGACAAGCATTGCGCTGTCCAATTCGGCCTTTGAAGGGTCATGACTCACCAGCATTCAATGCGCTCGTAATTTAGATATGTTGACAAATCATTAATTCGTAGTCCCTTTAGTTTTCCGTTAGTTTTAAGGTGGAATCTCACAATCTATCTAATCATAGAGCATAAAGAGTACGTTTTTTCTTACATTAACAAAAGCTTGAAAGGAATGCCGGTGGTCCATGGCCCTTAGTGCTCAAACCCTGCATGATAAATGGTCAATTCCTTTGGGATATATTCTTTGTCAATATTTATTCATGACTTTCAAAAATGGCTCGATATGTCACGGTCGCCGACCAGAGCAGCTGGGGACGAAGCACCAAAACGAGTTCTCAAGGGCCAGACTCCGTATAGTAAACTTCGATGGTTTCTTGCAAGAGTGTTTTGTTATAAATAACATAACAATACATCTTTCAAACTTTTGGACACTACATACATGTCATCTTTGTAGTGATTTTTTAGACGTAAGGGCTTTGAGGGCTCGTTTCCATGATTCGTCTCTGGTCCCTCGCTATTGCCTGTTCCGAAATTCAAGAGGAGACTGGGAACGAATATGCAAATAGTCCACTTATCGAAAATTGAATCTTACCACATGAAAGACCACACTACAGTTAGTGTTCTTCTCAAGTTTGAGTCTATTTTGTTGAATACTCACCGAGTAGGAATTTTTTCAAATCCGTTTCATGATCCTTTGCTTCCAGAAGGCGTAGCCAACACAAGCTCAGAAGATGATAGTGCGCATGTGCCTTCCGACTCATCACCAGATCCCTCTCCTGCTGGACATAGAAAGCCTGCAAACGAGGTTATACGAAGTATTCAGCAAAATCAGGTACTGAGTACAGCACGAGGCCCAACAATAGAGCGTATTTCGTATGAGTGGGACACCGTTACCGCACGGTTACCGCACAGTTACCGGACCTGGCCTTCACAATTTTGGTGAACCAATGGGGCACTAGAATTTGGTTACAGTACAATTACGGTCACAGTACAGTACCGTCCATTTCCCATTCATACGAAATCCGCTCTAAGACCGCAGATAAGATTTCGCATCGCATTATTTTGCTAAGCTAGTCTGTAACCACTTTGGATCCAAGGATCTGGGTATTTTTTCCAACTCATGTTCCAATAGACCTTTCTACAAATACTTTCTTTTGATATGAATTCAGAATATCCATGACGATGAACATCTCTGTTTGYTTCTCCAGATTCATTCCACGTCGTCATTGCATAGTTCGTCGAGTAGTTCAGACGCGGTCGATAGACTGGGTAATACTGAAGACTCGCGGAGCCCTGTTAAACAGGGTGCTGTGGTCGACGAAATGAAAACTATCTTTTCGAAAAAAGGTTCTCTCGAACGTGAAGGTATTTGCTAGATCAATATGGCACTAGAGTGCAAACACAAAAATTATTTTAAAAAAATCATTTTAAAATCATTTTAATTTTAATTTTAATCATTTTAATTTTAAAAGAACGTAAGAAAAYACACAATAGTTTACGGTAGTTCACGACCTCCAATATCGTTGACTAGTGACGAATCATGAAAACGAGACCTCAAAGGCCTTACATCTAGAAATCACTACAAGATGTCAAGTAGGCAGTGTTCAAAAGTTTGAAAGATGTATTGGTRTGTTTTTTATAACAAAACACTCTTGCAAGAAACCATCGAAGTTAACTATACGGAGGCTGGCCTTTGAGACCTCGTTTCAGTGCTTCGTCAGGTTCATACAGTCGATGTTGAAAAGGTTTTCCACCTGGCAAGACATTTCCAAAGGTTCAACTGCCACGTGACTTATGAAAATATCCACTTTCTGTTCGTGTAGAATGGTCTAGAATGTCAGTTGTATTCTAGTGGAGAAATGACAAGACATTTTTAAAAAGTTTATGGACATCAGAGAACGTTCCAAGTGCAGAAACTATATATATATATTTCAAGACACGTGACAAGTGGAGTATTGGAAATGTCTTTCAGTTGGATGATCTTTTTAAAAGATCGACTCTATGTTAGCCTTTGGCTGTGACAACCATATTTTATCTTGAAACAAATCGCTTTTTTTGCAGATCAATATCCATCCAAAACCAGCTCTCTGCCAAGAAATGGAAGTAGGGCTAAAGTCGCATCGTTAAACCGAAAAGGCTCGTTACCACTTACTAAACCACCCCCACCCCCTCCGTCTCGGAAAACTCCTGTCCCTCCCCCTCGTACTTTACAAAAGCAAGCCACCGAACCAGTTCTTAAAATTTCGGGAATTGTTACAGACATTTCAAACTCAATAACTGAGTTACCAGAACTTGAAGGGAAAGTACCAATAGTTCCACCAAGAAAGAAAGATGAAGATTTTAAAAATGAACTTGAAGAGAAACTTTCTTGTCAGCAACCTTCAACTTTGCCAGTAGAGCAAGATCAACATAGGAAGACTTTTGATAATGAACATTCGAAGGGTTCTCCTTCACAGACTGTAAATACTAGGAATATTTCAAATAGGGATTCTTTGGAGGATGACGTATTTCCGCCTCTTCCACCGGAAGTTGTTTTAAAAGAAGTTCGCGAGGAAAAAGAAAGAAAAAGAATTGTTCTAAAGCCGCCAAGACCTTCTTTGAGACCTCCAAAAAAAGTTGTTGAACAAAATACTAAGGAAAAGACTATAAAGGAAGATGATCTTCCTTCAGAAACTGACGCAGTACCTCCCCCTGCGGAAAACTCTAGCCAATCAATTAATATCGTAGCAGCAAAACCACTTCCAATAGTCCCCACTGCTGCGAAACCCACTCCAGTACCACCCCCTGCTGYACCATCCCCTCCTGCAAAACCTTTCTCAGTGCCTCACTCTTCGTCTAAGCCTAATGATTTGCCTCCACCTTCAATAAAACCTAAACCAGTTGTCAAAAAGAARCCAAAGCTGCCACCTAAACCGCCAACTAAACCAGGCTCATCTTTAAAGTATGAGGAACCAGATGAATGTGGCGCTGAGGTGTCCCAAGACCAAGCCTCTTCATTAGATGTTCCTGAATCTCGGGTGCCGCGTAAAAGACCCTCGCATTCCCTGTCAGACTTRATTGAACGGCGTTTRCGTATCGAACAAATTGATCTCACCGAGAGACCTTATTCTTCTGTGGTGAGTTTTCATTTAGGCAATGTTTATAAGGTCCTTTTCCCATATGACGTCATGTGGATTTAGCTAAGTGAGTAGTGGTATTGTTGAAATTATCAAGATGCCGGATAAGTGTTATAAAAACTAGAACAAAAAGTTGTCCTTACTCTTTGACACCGATAATCTGGACGAACGTTTAGTAACACTGCAATAGATTGACACTCGTGAAAAACGCACTGCGCATGTCCACAGCTTTCCCGSCAGTGAGCGCGCGCGTCTTKAAATCTGCCTAATTTTCTTTGTAAACAGAGCGCCTGGCGATTTTTATGAAAGTTTTTTACAATTTCTAAGCTCGTTAACCAATATATAAGATTCATATTTCCGTCAATC